CCACTCCATCTTGTAGATCTAGGTTTTTCCTCTTTTAAGTCACTTTTGGTCCCAAAATGGTGATTCTTGAGCATGACATGTTCTTGACTCATTAAGTCGTCCTTTCAAACCTTAGGAAGGGTCTTGAATCATAAAAATGGGGTCTTAATCGTTGGTTGTGCTCTATGCACTCTCTAGAATGTCTTAATGTATTTAGACCTTGAGTTAAGCACTTAATGGACATGCAAGGTTATAAAGTTGAAATTTTTTTACTCTTGAGGATGATTTAGCCTTGGATCTGGAAATGGGACGTAAGAGCTGAAGGCATTAAGCTCTTAATGAGAGTTTGGGAAGACTGGACGTATGTCGTGAGTAATCTAAGTATGCAGCACGTAAGTGGTCAACCTCCCCGATGGTGGTTAGAGCTTGAGTATACCCCATGTACATTTGGAGTGTGCACTGCATACGTGTTCTGTGTGGACTCGGCTGGGTTAACTCAGTTGACTTATGGATTTTGACAAGTTTGACTTTGACTTTGACCAAGTTTGACTAAAGGGTACTCTGGGTATTTTGAATAGTGTTTGAGAATTGATCATTTGGATGAATAGGTGTCGATTAGAGCTGAGATTTGGAGTCAGGACCTCATCAACTATTGTTCAGAATGTGATGTGAGTTTTCCTCACTGTAACCATGGGTCGAAGGCACCAATGTCAGCCCACTAGATTATATATCCTGGTTATAGGATAATTTTATGTTGGTATTGGATGAGTAGTAGATTTGCATGATTATCTAGTTCTGTGTTTATGTTTATCTGTTACATATGTCGACATATTGTGTTGGGTTGAGGTTGTACTGCTTTGCGTTGTAGCCAACAAACCCGAGTGCATTCCAGATATGAGCTGAGGGCCCTTTGGCATGCCAGACTCATACTGAGGGCTCTAGGACATTCCATATACGAGCTAAGCGCCGATTGGTATGCCAGAATCGTACTGAGGGCGTGGGGGTATTCCATTCTGATGATTGAGTGGACCCATTATACATTGGCATTCCAACTTGGGGTATTCTATCCCGAGGATGATTGGACCCAGAGGTTGATTGGGTCTGGGGTATTCCAACCTGATGGTTGATTGGACCCGACATGTTATTATATTTATGATTTATTTGTGTGTTGGTACTTTGGGGGAACTCATTAAGCTTTGGCTTACTGTTTTTAGTTCTTGTTTCAGGCACTTCTGATGATCGCGGGAAGGCGAAGGCACTTCTGATGATCGTACACATCCTCTGTTTTATGTACTTTTGATATATGGGATACTCTGATATGGAACAATACTTTGAAAACAATGACTTTATAAACATTCTATGATTTGGGGTTGTTTTAAAAAGTTCAAAATTGTTGTGATTTTTATGGATGTTACAAATAGTTTGGGCGTGAAGATTGAATTTACGAACAACTTTGACCATACCTGCACGAGCCCGAGTCACCGTAGGATGATTAGAAGTGGCAAAGTTGTAGAAATGGGACTAGAAGCCGAGTTGGTACCATATATCTACATTTGGACTACAAAATCAATACACTCCCATTCTTCTATATTTGTTATTGTTTTTCCCATTAGAGGTTTTAGATGATCAACAACTCCAAAGCCAGTGTAGTGGGTATGAATAGTTTTCGCTATGCATCGTAATTTAGTTTTTGCAGATCAAGAATGATATGAATGAAGGATTTGATGTTGGAGATGCCATATGGTTTTTCAGAATTGGCATTGGTGTTGGATGATGATGGTTGCACCATGATTCAAGAAAGAGATGTGAGGGGATTAAGGAAGAAGGGATCGACATATGAGAAGAATAAAATGAGAAGGGTTGGCGCTAAGGTGGAAATTTTTAGAAGTGCTCTGATACCATGTAATCTTGTATATTTCCCAAGGTTTTAAAAAGCTCGTTATAGCTTCTCCATGACACGTCATTGCTCCATGACTTGTACTTGACGCCAACTTTTAGTAAAATACCGCCTTAAGTCATATATGCATATAAAAATGAATAATAATAGAATATATATATATATATATATATATATATATATATAATTGACGTCTTAAGTCACGCCTTACAAACGACGTAGCTCGTTACGACTTATAAAAGATTGAAGTTTGATATTGCCGTCAAATTATTCCTAAAATTATTTAAAACCTTGACATTTCTCGTGAATGTAACCTTTCTCATTAAATCAATATATAGTACAAAATATAATAGATATGGGCCGAATACAAAAATACAAAATACAAAAGGGTCGGACATAATACAATACAAATCCTATACATTACCACGAAAAACATAGTCTACCTACCACCGCTTATTTTGAAAAAATGACTAATATTCCGAAATGACTATATTGATGAAATCATTATATTTTCAACTTTAAAAATAATTGGTTATTATTTATAACAGTTAGTTTACTCGATTTTCTTATATTTTAATATAAGATAAATTTGCAAGTCTTTTAACGCCTTTTTTTAGACCGAGCCTAAAATATGTAGGTTCGGATTTAGATTATACAAAAGTAAAGATTATACTGATTTTCTACAATATATCACATTTTTAAAATAATAAAATTCTCCTTGTTTATACACATACTTCATAATTTAAACTTTGGTACCATATGATTGATTACAAATCATCACGTCATGAAAGCTCCTCTCTTTTGAATTTCTGAAAATAGTGGGACATCATAAATTCCTAGTTTTAGGGCATCGGTTGGTGGAGCATAGACATATACTGCCTACAATTCGATTTCGTGACAGAAAGAGACCTACATATCCACTCTTTATTCCTTTATTCCCTTTTATCTTTTTCCTCAAATCAACAAATAGTTTGTATCGATGTTACAAAAACAACAAGTTATGACACATCTGTAAAATTAGAAATAACACCAAACACGTCACAAAGATCGGAACTTGGAACCACGAAAAACTATTCCCTAATAGAAAAGAAAGAAAGTACCAGAATCACTTTGCTGAAAATTATTGTCTAACGGAAACATGTAAAATATTTTTTATTCCCATTTTAATTTCCTTTCTTTAAAGGATTATATACAAATAAATAGCAATGTTTTTTTAATTATTGAATTATAATTTCATTTATTATAACAATACTGTATTCCGAAAATCTACAAAAGTATAGGATAGTATCCAAATAGGCAGAAAATTTCAGTGCTATAACTGCATGAATTTTTCAAACTATAATATTTTAGTAAGAAAACAATATCAGAAGCATAATACGATAACTGGGTAGGGTTTTTTAAAATGCAAGATCTTAACAATGTTGTAATACTAGAAAGAAATGAAAGCCGTGTTTTATAATACACAAATAACTGAAAGTGCATTGCTATTTTTGTATTCTACCATTCTTTTAACAACCAAAAATACATATACACGGTTAGCTTGTACAGTTGGTTCTAGGATGTTATATTTAGTTTATGGTTCCAATATTAGCCTTAGTATAGGATTTCCAATATCAATACGAATTATACTCATTATAGACATTTAGTTATTTTTTTAGTTATCTTACCAATAGTTGCGTACATGATTTATATCTTTAGATGCTAAGGATAACAATAAATAAGGGTACAATTGAGTTAAACCAACTTGTGAGATACACAAAACCGACTTGAAAAATATTTGAAACGATTCGGTTCAAGATGAATCGAGCTCAAGCTCGAGCTATTCGAGTATATTATCGAGTCGAACCCGAGTATCGGAGTACTCGGCTTATGAGGTTTTCGAGCTTAACTGAACTTAGTTATATTTACATTTTTAGCCTTTATTTTATTCAAATTTACATAATCGAGCTGAGTTGAGTCGAACTCACAAGCTTAATCGTATTATATAATATACTTAATGTAATTTTGTTTTTTTAATAACTAATCGAGTCGAATCGGAACATGCCGATTACCTTATCTAGTTCAATCATGTTGAAATTAAGAATCGTTAATCGAGTCAAGTTTTGAGATTAATAGTATCCAAGTCGACTGGATTAGATTGCACCTTAGTAATAAGAATAAGGACTAACTTAGAGATTATTAAAAAAAATAAACATATGTAACTTTAAGTCCATTGGTTTTTGTAGGGCATGGAATAGACCTAACAAAGGGCTGTGATGCCTTTTGCAGCCAATAATGGATTGCTAACCCCAACATACGGCTGAGACACCAGGACCCAGAGAGGCAGTGCTGTTTTAGTTATCATGTCCAGTGGTTTTTGTGGTAACTCACTAACATATTTAACTTTGTACCTTATGGAGTACATCTTGTACAAGGCAAAATACAGATTCTGAGTGCATCTTTTATTTGGTGTTGTGTTGGGGATTCTGAAATCCTTTCTGGTCAAAAAAACACAAAAAAGAAGGCTCAGTCAAGCATTTCCATCTCTCTAACCCCACCAAGAAAGTGAAGTTACATATTTACTTTGTTCCCTTCCCTTTATTCTTTTCTCTTGTGAAATTACTAGAAAGGACTCATGGGTAATGACCCGGAATTGTACAACCATCGGTGCATATGGTACAAGCTATTTTGAAGGCATTTTAGAATTTGTTCTTCCAACACATTTTATGTTGGGTATGTAACTTGAAATTCTCTTTCGTAACGTTTTGTAATACAAAAAAATGAAAAACCAAGAAAGTATTTTAATTGTTTTATTCTATGCATCATGATAGGATTATTATAATTTAATCTATAATCGGAAATCGTATTCTTTATTTTGAAACCCACCTCTCTCTCTTTTGGTGGGGTTGCTTCTATTTTTTTTACAAGATCCGACCCGAATCAAATGGAGTTTTTAAAGCAATATTTATTTATTCAAGATTCATCATTAATAAAAAGAAGTATATTTGATAAATGATAAAAAGACAAAAGAAAACAGCCACAAATAATAAAAAAATAATCAACCACATTCACTCTCTCTCTTTCTCTTTTAAGGAGTCGCCTTCTTCTCTTTCGGTTATTATCTCTCTTTCATATGAAAACAGCTATGGCAAAAACCTCTCAAGACAAGAAACACTTCCACTGGTCAAACAAAGTCAGCAACGAAGATCAAGAAGAAGAAGAAATCCCTTCCTTCAATCCTTGTCACCAGAAAGAGAAAGACTTGAACGAATCACCATCACCATTAACAAGAAAGAAGTTTCAAACCCTTACAATCGCTAGATTCCGAACAGTTCTTACTGCACTCAGTAAAAACCGCCCAAATTTGCTGCATGGGTTGGGACCGAAGGTCGTCGGAACCCTATTTGGGTCTCGCCGTGGCCATGTCCATTTTGCATTTCAGAAGAACCCCACATCCCAACCCGCTTTCTTGATCGAGCTTCAAACTCCGATCAGTGGTTTGGTGAAAGAAATGGCTTCTGGGCTCGTTAGAATTGCTCTCGAGTGTGATAAAGATGATGAAAAGATCAAGAAAGTGGGAAATTCACGAAGGCTCTTGGAAGAGGGTGTTTGGAGGACTTTCTGCAATGGGAAGAAGTGTGGTTTTGCGACTAAAAGGGAATGTGGAGAGAAAGAATGGAGAGTTCTGAAAGCTGTAGAGCCGATCTCCATGGGAGCTGGTGTGTTGCCTGCAGGTGATGAAGAAGATGAAGGTGAGATGATGTACATGAGAGCTAAGTTTGAGAGGGTTGTGGGGTCAAGAGATTCAGAAGCTTTCTATATGATGAATCCAGATAGCAATGGAACTCCTGAACTTAGCGTCTATTTGCTCAGAGTTTGAGACTTCAAATTTGTCTGAAGAAGCTAGAGCCTAAAGGAGATGTTTTATCTTGGAAATTTTCTTCTTCTTCTTGAATTTGGTTATTTTGTCATAGAAAATGGTAAAAGGGTGAGTTTGTTGTAATTTGTAGTTCTTTAAGGGTGGAATTGGAAATATACATATATTAATTACATAATGATTGGAGCTATTATGCATATCTACGTATCTACCAAGCTATAGTATATAAAACGTTTTATATTTGAACGGAATGCGCATAATTAAAACAACAATCGGTAGAGGCAAAAAAGAAAAAAAGAGTAAAAAACAGAGGTTGTTACATCAAGACATCAAAGTAAACAAGAATTACACTCCATAATCGGGTCCCTACACCAATTCAACCACCGATGCTTGCCTCCTTTTTTTTCTTTCTTGTGTTAATCCAAAAATAGGGACAGTTTTTGCTCCTCATTAGCTAAAATTGAGTGAGATTTGCTCCACATACCCTATACAAATACTAGCATAACCGCTTCCTGTGCTTCCATGGCAAACTCCTGCGAAAGATAAGCAGAGAGTTGTCGATGTAATTCCTAAAAAATGTTACCCAGTAAACTCCTGAGGTTTTAAAGTTCCACTGTCATTTGCAATCGTCGTTACAATCAGTCGTGTGAATCATTAAATCTTGGCAACCGTACCCTATAAGTGCCATTTTGTTTTTGCTGAAACCGGAGTAGGGATCGATGTCAACCGGACCAAACGGGAGCGGAAATAGCTGCTCCTGTCCCCACCTCTGAAAATCCAACATTACAAAACGACAAATCCAACAATCTTACAAATATAAAATACGACAAATCGAACATTACAAAAAAAGTACAACGACTTTAAAAATATATCACCAATTCACTATCGTATCGTCGTATGTTATTAAGTGAAAGAAAGTTACCTAAAATTAGATAATGTATTTTTTATATATGTTTTTATATTAAACATATATTTTTTATATAAATATACAAACGGAACCCCGCGGGAGTACGAGACAGAAATACTCACTCCCGCCCCCGGTCCCAAAAATAAAACGAGGTCCAATTCCACTCCCGCCGCCGCGCCCGCCCCCAAATCTTTTAAAAAATTAATCCCGTACGGAATCGGGGTCCCATGGGAGCGGGGTCCCGTAGAAGTTTTTGACATCCCTAAATTGGAGAATTGAAGTCACTCTTTATACCGTAAATTGATTTGATAACTTCAGTCCATGCATTGCTATCAAAACTTTGAGTTTCCACCCTCATTTACCTAGTAAAGCCAAATTTAGAGCTTGAGACTGCCAATTCCAAGGCTACCATAATCTTTGGATGCAAGAGTTTCGTCCCACGCAATCATAGCCAATTTCCGCTTTTCTAAGTTTCCACCCCAAAAGAACTTCATTTTTTTAAGGGACTTTAAGACATTGTGTTAAAAATATATACACATTTTATATCAAACTTAATATTTGTTATTTTAGTTTTGGGTGTATTTTGTTGTTATATTTATTTTGCAGGGTGTTTTATGTAAATTATTAAAATCTTATGTGGGTTTGTCGATCCATCGGAGCTATTTTTGACCCGGGTATATATTGAGTGCAGCTGCCTTCGATGGTTTAGAATTCGTTCACATTTTTCCCTTTCTCGCTACGTTTTCTCTCTAGATATTTGTGCCAGTTAGGGTTTCGTTTAGGGTTTCATACTTTGTTCTTGTATATCCTTCAGATGTTATACGATTGAGAGTTTGAGAGTGATTGTAGTGAGGATTTTGTTTGTATTATGTATGATGAAAACATCTGATTCATACTGAATGAAATGAAGATGTTGGGAAATTGTTGAGTTTGTGTTCTTCGTATTTTGTTTCATGGTATCAGAGCTATAAGGCTTCGATTTATCGTTTCCAACACTCGGAGGTGGTTCTCATCTCCGATCGTTGTTGTAAAAGGTATTGTATGATCTTTTTTTCTTGTTTCTTTTGTGTTAGATCGTTCAGTTTGTGTTGAATCTGGTGTCTCTTTGACATCTCTGGATTTGTTACTCAAACTGTGAAAATCTGAGTTTATTGTTTCGATCTAAGGTTCCCGCGTCGTTCTCCCTAAATCGAAACAAATATTGTTTTTCTTTGGGATTTTGGTACTGTGAGCTCTTGTGTGTTCTTGCAGGATGATTGATTGCGATAGGTGGTTTTGCTCTCATCAATCTCTGTTGCTTCGACGTTTGTTTTGGTCGATTAATCTCTTCGTCTGAAATAACTCTCTAGGGGTTGGATTTTGTCACCGATAAACCCTAGTAGGGAATGGATAAGGGAGTCAACTTATCTTCTTCTGTCTTCTTCCCACTATGAGGGTTTCTTTCTCCTTTATTCTCTGATGATGTTCTGGGAGATTGTGGTTGTCTTGCATACACCAGTTATATTTTTTTCTTGTTTGTTTTCTTATGACTCTGTGTTGACTGTCATGGGCCCGGATAAACGTGGTGACCATCTGGACATTATATCAGTACAGGTGTATGTTTTCTTTGTTTTCTTGGTTGCTATTTGTGTTTCTTGTGTCTATTTGTGTTAATTTGCTTTCACGGTTGGTCCTAATGATCCTCATGGTGGAAGTGGAAAGGATGATCAAGTTAACTTTGATGATCCTCTTTACATCCATCCATTTGATAATGCAGTAACAACTATTTTTACTATAAAATTAACTGGTAATGAAAACTTTAGGTTATGGAGGAGCTCTATGTCAAGAGCTCTTAGGGCTAGAAACAAGCTAGGGTTAGTTGATGGAACATTAAAAAAGAGAAGTGTTGATCAAACTAAACACTCAAAATGGGATAGGGCCAGTGTTGTGTTCTTGGATTCTTTCTTCTATTTCTGATTCCATCTATGCTAGTCATGCATATTCTAAAGATGTTGAGGATATTTGGCAAAATCTTTTTGAAACCTATAATAAATCTGATGGTTCTGTGGTTTTTAATGTTCATCAACAAAATCAATTCTTTTAAACAAATGGTATTTCTTCATCCAATTACTTTAATATGTTTGAAGCTCTATGGAAAGAGTTTGATGGCTTAACCAGTTTAACTGAGTGTACATGTGAGGCTTTTATGAAACTCAAAGATCATTCTAATATGATGAAACTCATGCAGTTTCTTGGTGGTCTTGATGATTCCTATTGTCAGGTTAAGATTCATATTTTGCTCATAGAGCCTTTGCCTAATGTCTAAAATGTTTTTTCTATAGTTTCTAGGGAAGAGGCTTTGAAAAGAAATGGTTCTTTTTCTTCTTTTCAATCTTCTCAGTCCTCTTCCAAATCTCAACCTATTGTTTTTAATAGTAGGTTTAATAATAGGTTCAGTTGTAATAACTGTAATAAAAATAAAAACCAAGTTGTTCAATGTAAAGATTATGGTATTAATGCTCATTCAATTGAAAAATGTTACAAGCTCATTGGGTATCTAAAAGATTTCAAACCAAGAAATTAGTCTAATAGTCAAAACAACTTTAATAAAAAACTTTATGTGAACTCTATCACTACTCCTTCTGGAAGTCCCACTGCTTCCAATGTGCTTAAGTCTTTTGGAGACTTTGAATTTCATCAATTTACTAAGGAACAACACATTAAGTTCTTGCAACTCATTAGTGATAAGCAATCTAGTGAGGAATCATCTGCTAGTGCTAATATTGAAAGTACTTCCTTGTTTAAAGATTTTAATTCATCTATTAACTATAAAAATGGATTGTTGATTTAGGAGCCAATCAACATATGATTGCTTCTGAGTCTCTTCTTCATGATATTATGGATGTGTCTAAGTTGAATCTTCTTGTTAGTCATCCTAATGGTACATCTGCTAAGATTGAGAAAATTGGAAATATGAACTTATCTAATACCTTAACTTTGTTTGATGTGTTTGTTGTGCTTGATTTTAATGTAAATCTTCTATCTATACATAAGGTTTGTAAAGATATTAATTGTGAGGTTGTATTTAATGAACATTGTTGTAAAATTTAGGGTTTACAGTCAAAGGAGATAGTGGGGAATGGTAGAGAATCTAAAGGTCTCTATTACATAGATAGTGTACCTTCAGGTAATTATTATAGGTTTAATAATAGTTCTCTAGTGTGCTGTGTCTCTAAACTTACATGGCATAACAGACTTGTCCATCCTTCTGACGAAGCTTTACTTTCCTTAAAGAATAAACTTAAATGTAAAAATGAAATCCTATCACCTTGTGACATATGTCATAAGGCTAAGCAGACTAGAGACTCTTTTCCCACCAATCAACATGTCACTTCAAAACTTGGTGAGTTAGTCCATCTGGATGTTTGGGGCCCTTATAGAGTGACTACCTCAGAAGGATTTAGATATTTTTTTGACGATTTTGGATGACTATACTAGAGCTACTTGGGTTTATTTGTTAAAATCCAAATATGAATTTTGTGATTATGTTTCTAATTTCTTTAACATTCTCTTTAATCAATTTGAAGTTAAAGTTAAGACCGTTAGATCAGATAACGAAACTGAATATTTAAATCATAAAATGAAACATTTGTTTGAGTCTAAAGGAATTTTACATAAAGCTTTCTTTGTTCATACTCCACAACAAAATGGTGTTGTGGAGAGAAAACATAAGCATATTTTAAATGTTGCACGATCTTTGATTTTTCAGTGTCTATTAAATATTGGGGAGAAGCTCTCTTAACTTCTGTTTTTTTATTAATATAACTCCTACTTCTGTTTTAAAAGGTGCTTCTCCTTATGAACTTCTTTATAATACTTCTCTAAATTTTGATAAACTTAGAGTCTTTGGATGTTTGTGTTTTGCCATTATGTTAAAGAATTTGGATAAGTTTTCTGAAAGGGCTGATAAATGTATTTTTCTTGGTTATTCTCCTGATAAGAAAGGTTATAAAGTTATCAGTCTTGATTCAAATCTTACTTATGTTTCCAGTGATGTAAAGTTCTATGAATCTGTATTTCCTTTCAAGCTTAAGTCTTCCTCTATGACTGATAAATC